ATAAGTAGAATGAAATCAATCGCGCCGACCCTCTATCACATACGAGCACGACGCGGCTTGTGGATCCTCAAGTACCTTAGCATGGGTGAGCTTGAAGTTATTCCAACTCGATGTCAGCTCCTCTATCTGCCTTTCCAAGAAAACGGCAGATGGATCCTGCATTTCCTCGATGTCCTTGGCGCAGTTGTCCAGGAAAGCAGCGAGATCATCCTGCTTGGCGATAAGTCGCTGCGTTGTTGCTTTAATGGTGGAGGAAAACTGCTGTTGTTCCTCAGGCATTGTTCTCAATTAATCACTTCACTTCGCACAAAGTTAGAGTCATATGTCTGCACTTCGCGGATTCGGCTCGAAGGACAAAATAAAAATGTTCGAGCTGCTTGCGAACACGAGAGAGGAAGAGCGTTGCCAGGTGCGAAATGCGTAACAAGACTTAAACGTTTATTTACCACTTGTAATAATTAACAAATCAATCGAAGTTAACAATAAATAGACAGAACGAAGTGACTGATTGAACGATAACTTATGCCGGGTCACGAGTATCGAGCCTGATTGAGCGGGCCACTAGCGCGAGTGGACTTAGAACTTGCGCGAGAGATTGAGCGCGTAATACCGGAGACTTGTTCTCGCGGGAGATGAATTTTATCTAACGAAACGGCAGAGCGATTCGAGTTAGGAGCTTTGGGATGCTGGAATCAGGGGAGGAGTTTTTTAGGAACGTCGTCGAGGATAGGTTAAGACAAGGTTAGGATGCATTTACAAAGAGCGATGATTGGCTGCAGGATAGTGAGAAGGGGAAAAGTTTATGCATTTTGAGTCGTAGGTGGGGAAAGCAAAAATAGGCTACAGGACGAGGAGTTCTAGGAAAGGAACAATTCAAGGGCTAAAGGACCGCGGTGACAGAGAAGTACTCGAAGGTACGAGTCGATGTTTTGGAGTTTAAGATTTAACTTATGAGCTCAAGAGGTAGATTTACGTGACAAGAAGAAAGTGAAGAGAGTCACGACATAACGCGAGACATGTGCGGGGTTGACAGAAAGCAGACGCGGACTCGAAAGAGAGGAACACCCAGATCGCTGGGAAAGAATTCCCTGCCCCGGGGGTTCGACGGTCGCCTCTTACCCCTACCGGACGGTCAGGCGCCAGGGTGTCCGAAGGTTCATCTGGACCGCTCTAGTGTCTCTGTGACTCGAGTTGGTTTTATCAATAGCTAATTGATTTTCACCTATTGATCTGAACAATAATGGTTTATATATAAGTAATTGGAGGGGTAAGTTACGTGGGACGTAACAGTGCCTTATGTACAATAGGTTTTTCGTTCAAACTCAGTATTATTTGAATTTTATTTTTATAGTGTCTCCGTAATAGGTGCCATAAAATATCAACAATATTTTATGCCGTGTAAGGTATGATGAGTTAATTTTTTGCTAATAAATATTGTAGCATTCAATTTAATAGTCATAGCAATGACTATATTGATTTTATACTATACCTCTTTTGGTGATGGTACATCTGATGCAAGCCACTTATTTAGCCAATATTGAATGGCATTAGTTTTGTGGGATTCCGACAGCATTTGTCATATGGCGAAATGTCCATTTTTTCTATTAATGACAATTTCATACAAAAATATTGGTGGTGGCTTTACTTCTTTACGTTTTTGTATCGACAAAACAATCGATCCAGTTGAATCTATGGAAATGCAGGAATGTTCGTCAGTGCTAAATTTTCTATAGGCGTTGTTTTGGAAATTTGTCCAATAATGAACAAAAAACGGGTCGTATCCAATACTTCGAAGTATGCCTTTATATTGATTGGATTATACAGTCCACAAGCTTTTATCGGATCTTTATCTACATACGCGGATTCTTTATACTGTTTTTTTTTTATTTCTGTAAACAGCGTTACTGTATAAAAATGGCGGTTTCCTTTGACCATCATTTTTTAATAAAGCATTTGTTGCTTCAGTTCGGAACACATTAATGTTCTTTTCATAAATTTCCCGTCCTAAGTCATCTCTTTCGAGCTGCCGACAAGATCTTTTTGAACATTTGCCATTGCCATCGATATACGTGCACGTAACAGTAATTATTTCTTGCCCCATGTTTTTAAGCTCCCCGTTAATAATTGATTCACAGCGACAACGTCCTGAAAATGTCCCTCTACCCGAATTTCTGTAAATTGTGTGCGTATGAAAATTATGCCCACAAGCTCTTCCGGTAGTTTCAACAAACTTTTTAGAAATTAAAAGTTGCCAAGAACCCGATTTTAAAATAGTATATCGACGACATCTTAAATTGCGACGCTGCTTTTCCTCCCTCTGATGAATTTTATGTTCCAGTAAACTTTCAAATTCCTGTTTGCTTAAATAAATATTGACTGTAGACATATTTTGTGGTTCCATGGAATCATCTTTTGATTCGATAGACTGATTCTGAGAAATGAGAACATATTGAACGTTAGTATCTCAAACTTTGCTAAATTTCAAATCCAAAATTGAAGACTGTTGATAATTATTGAACATGAGTTACAACATAAGAAAATGGTTACATTCAATTATAAAAATTAATATATGTTTCAAAGCGCTATATATACATATATATGTATGTAATATATACAAATATATTGTAACGTGGTGGGCTCAATGCTCCCTCACGTTACGAGGAATCAGGTATATCGGAGGATGAGTCTGGTCCCCCGCACCCTATATTAAGTATATATTAGACGGAGGAGGCCCTCCGATTACCTCTTAGAGATCGATGCTACCGGCCACTACCTAAGGAAACATCCCACATGTCCTATCAATGTTACTTGGGGCCAGATGGGCTATGTGAAATGGGTTGGAATTGGTATCGGGACCTCTCGACTGCCTCCCTCTCTCTCTTCGGGCCATACCTCTTCGACATGAAATCTAGGAGAAATTGTGGGGAAGACCAACAAGATAGAAATAATAATAATTCAGGAGATAAAACGTTTTAGGGACCGAAAGTTACCCGGTGGTGCGGTTGGTCCGAAGTGGGCGGCGCCGAAGCCTAACCTTAAAAGGGCCTACGAGGATCGGAGTGGCACGCGTTTAGCGAAGCTAACACCGGCTTGGAGATTGAGGGCGAGGAGTCCAAAAGGGCACTCGCGGTCCCTCGGCCGCCACCGAGAGCCAGTCACCGGCCCAGAAGTCAGGGGCGCCGGTTGACCGGCAAGGTTATGTCTCCCCAGAGTGGGCACGCGAATGCCCGGGAGTCGGTGCGCGGCCAATATGGAGGGACGGGCGCCGCGCGCGCGGGATGCGGCGGCGGCCCGAAGCACGGCGTTACTGGCCGGGGAGGACCCTGCAAGGGATCCGACCAATCAGAGGTGAATACGCCAAATTTGCCATCGATCCTCGGATGGCCTAGATCCGGCTTCGATGAGCGATCCGAGGCGCTTGCCACGGGCCAATGGCCGAAGCTTTCGGAAGCGCCGGCCAATCGGATCGGTCATCGGGTGGGGGAGGTGGCCGGCGTCGCGTGCCAAGTTCCCACGTGTTGCCGGGTAATAAAAAACAAAGGGAGCCTGGCTCCTTCTTCTTGGATAAACTACGGACAAGGACGGTCGTGCCAAAGAAGCCATAGTGATTTTGAGGTACGGAGATTGAGACAAATTTGGAGAGAAAGAGAGAGAGCGAGAGAGACGAGAGGCAACGACGAGAAGTGTCTTCGTTGAAAAATAAAGTATTGGCCATATGGCCTTGATTTCAATTTCTAGATTTTGATGAGGCGTACGGTCCCTGTCAAATAGGGGCGTGCCATTTTTGTCGACTTCGATTCAGTGGCCGGTATAAACGATGCTACTTAGCGGAATCTAAATTGGCGCCTATTCCGCGAGTATTGCAAACCGGGCGTCGAACCTTGTGACGGAAACACGTCGCAATATATATATATATATTACATCGCTGGAAGTTATAACAATGATAGTGGTTTTACTATGTTATACACTATTTGAATGAACAATATCTTGCTCTGATGCATACTTCTGATATATATGTGTGAATTCCAAATTTATGAATTAAAGAAATTAATGAATTCACTATTTTAAGAGTTCTATTCCAAAAGTAAAAAACAACAATGGTTATATCCATTTTCTGAACTTGCAACATACACATAGAAGATGAAATTTTAATATTGAATAATAATTAATGTTGCTAGTTTAGAAAACGGACATAAAATTTGTTGTTTTTCACTTTTGGTATCGAACTCTTAAAATAGTGAATTCATTAATCTCTTTAATTCATAAATTTGGAATTCACACATATATATCAGAAAGTATGCATCAGAGCAAGATATTGTTCATTCAAATAGTGTATAATAAACTTCCAGCGATTGAATCACATTACATACAATTATGTTAAATAAAGTTGTATCAAGCCTTTGAAATATATAATACTGAACTTAAATTTTATAGATTTATACAAATTGGAAGAAATTAAAAAGACAAAATAACCGAAATGTAATGCTTATTCTTTCACTGATAACGTTTTACTGAATAATGAAATAAGTAAATCATGTTCTGCGTTGATTTTTTAAATCTTGATCTATTGTACATTGCACCTTTTGGATTTTTATGTTTTTCGCAGAAAGGTTAAATTTTCAATTCAACTGTTTTCAATTTTGAGACCAAGTATTACAACTTTCGAATTTATCTAGCTCCTTCTATTATAAACAGGTCTCACGGGTGAAATGCGTAAGCGATGCATGATAGAATAACATTTTTAAAGGAGGGTTTCTTGAGTCTTATTATCGGTAAAATTCAAACTTTTTTATAACGAAATATGCGGATGTTCAGCGAAGGGATCGGCGTTGGATGTGTCGAGTCTCCAAGAGCTCCGTTTTCCGAATGTCCCGATTCCTCGTCCCTTAGAACTCTCGTCCTCCGTCGCCTCCAGCAGCGCCGCATCCGGTCCCCTGGTAGTCCAACTATCAATGGTCCTTCGGAATTTCACTCCAGCGCGCTCATCGGTCTCCTACGGTCTAATATGGTCGAACCTTGGCTTCGCGTCGGTCGACCTCGACTCCGACCCCGACCGTGTTTTCCTTCCTCAACCTATACAGGAGAAAAATTAGGCTCGAGCGACAAGAATCTTACCTTGCTCTACTCAAGAGCGTCAAATGTAATCCATCGACGTAAACTGTCGACCGCAACGACACTCTTCTGCCCCTTGGCTTTTCGGAGTTACCGAACCTCGTACCGGTCGTTGGGAAGTACAGCCGTTACCTTAAATGGCCCCTTGGCCTTGACCACCAATTTTCGACTCTGTCCCGTCGCCGCTAAATTGGCAGCCACCATTACAACGTCTCCTACGTCATAGCGTGGCGCCTTGCATCTCTTAGCGTCAAACTGCGCCTTCTGCCGAACCTGCTCGGCATCCATGGCTCGTTTAGCTTCCTTGCGAAGCTCTCGGAGGCCCACCTGGTCCAGGGACGCCTGAATTCCGGCGATCAGTGCCGAATCCGCTACACTACAAGGCTTGAACCCGTAAAGTAATTGTGCCGCACTCTTTTGAATCGTACGATTAATAGCGTTATTAATCGCACTTTGGACCTGCTTAACATACTGGTCCCACTTGTCCTCCGGCGACCCTGCACTAGTAGCGGCGAGCGAATTCAAAAGAGTCCGATTTACTCGCTCACATTGTCCATTTGCCCTGGGTGTTGACACGGCATTTAGAATAGGTTTTGTCCCGAGCTTTCACACGAATGCTGCAAAGCGATGGGACGTGAAAGCAGTTCCTCGATCACTTATGATTCGAGATGGAATTCCAAAGATGGCGAACAGTTGATCAAGTATTTTGATTACCCATTTCGTCTTTGTATCTCGGGCAGGTTCGAGAACGCAACATTTTGTAAACCCGTCTAAAATGACTAACATTTGCGTATTTTTCCGTTTACTCCGAACAAATGGTCTCACGTGGTCTAAATGCAGGGTATGGAACGGGACGGTGACCTTCTCAATGGGGTGCAAGAGCCCTGGCTTTCGTCCCGAAGTTGACTCATAGTACAAACAATTCAGGCAAGCTCGGACATACTTGGAGACGAACCGACTCATTCCGGAGAACCAGTAATTTTCCCTAACCTTTTCTAAAGTCTTATCAAGTGCGAAGTGGCCCTGATCGTCGTGGCACATCTTAACGACGTTAAAACGTGCCATCCGTGGAACCACCCACTTGTTCCCTTATTCGGTTTTTCGAAAAACTCTTCCGCTTTAAGGTCATAATTTTCAGAGTATTGCTTCGTATCGGGTTGGATTTCTCCGGCTTCCAAGTGTAACCGGTCAGCGGGCCCCGAGTGTCGGAGGATAAGGTCAGCTGTTCTCCTGGAAGCAGAGGTCAACCGTTTCCCCGGACCCTCGCCGGTAGTCACTTCCCGTGAGACAGCGCAGGTTCTTGACCGGAGCCTCAGCTATCGGACTTCTTGATGATGTCGCAGTAAAATAATAATATCCTTTAATGTGCCATGGACTTTCCCGTGAAGGCACGAACTTCGTTTCCTTTAATATTGGTCGCCAGGTGTTTTGACCTCATAAACACCAAGGTATAACTGCTTCAATAAATCCACTGGTCCACCTTCCGACTGATCCGAAGTAAGAGGGCCCTCGGGTGGCCAGGATACTCTCTCTCGCGGATAAATAATCAACGCGGTTCTCAATAACTCATTTACTCAATTAACAATTGGATGCAAAGGTCATCAACAATATGATTCTCACGCGGCACTCGCGGACAATAACGAGCGAACTTCCACGGCGTCGGACTGCGCGACGTTTCCCCGCGTACTAGTCGCTTAATACAATTAGTCGTAACTTCGACTACAATTAACTTTTGATTAATTATCGATACTCTTTTACGGATATGCCGGGGCTCCCAGCAGTGATCCCACTTTTAATTACTCGCACAATTTTCCTTCAACTTTATTACCGACGTATCGGGACTTCCGACAGTGATCGGCACTTATTATTCTCAACACTTTATTTTACTTTAACTTTTCCCCCGTATTGAGCCTGTCTGACTCGATTCGCGGCGCTTAACGGCCCGGGGTCTAGCAGGCCACGCGGCGCGGTCGGCTGCTCTCGACTGCTACTGGATGCGAATTAGTTGTGGGTGGCTTTCGGCCCCCTATTTATACCCGAGGCGACCTGTCAACTTGATTGATGGGCCTAGCAACAACTAAACCGCTGATCGCACATTTTTCGCGATCAGGTCAAAGTTCACCGCGTGCCTTGCTGGTTCTTTTCCCCTAGGCCGGAACTTCGGGAAGGCCCTCGTTTAACAACGGTAACTTGTACGGGCCCCCCTCCCCTTCTTATAATTAATTCAGTAACTTATAAACGCAGATAGATATTAACATTCCGCAAATGGGGACCAAAATGTCTACCCATCGCGCGCCGAACGCACTATCTCGCATAATTGAATATGACCGGATTCTCGGTCGTTTGTTAATAACAATTTCGTTAATTTTATCAAAATCTACTTGGCGACTAGGGCGTTCGTTTACATATGCTTCAATGTACAAAGCCTTAAAATTATAGAGTCGCCGGTCCAATAGCTTAAGATTTGCAGGGTCATAAATCATGACGCCTATCAACGATTTCCCGTTTAATAAATGATATCGGAGGCGCTCGCAAGGGCAATCTATTCTCCTCGCGACGCTGAACAATAATCCGAAAATAGATTTAAAATATCTCAACGCGTTCGCAAAAGAATCGCGTTGGAATGTTTGGTTGCACTGGTTGCATGATCGAAGCTTCCAGATGGCCTTGAGCGGCACGTGCCGGTCGTCCTCCTTTGGGCCCGACTGCAGTGGCACGTGCCGACCTGTCAGCGCGTGATTTATCGATTTTTACTAACTTTGTTAATAATGGTCGCACGACGCTCGAACTGGTCGGGTTTTGTTCGTACCGTTCTTATTAATCATATCCGCCACTTTTGGGTGCGGTCAACAAATTACCTGATTTTTAAATATTAAATAAGGGCCTATATCGGCTGTAAATGCCTTAACCGCAAGACTAACGTGTCTATCGCATGGCATAATATTCGCGGGTCAGAATGCGCACGAGTCTGCCTCGTCGCGACCCTTACATTAACTATAAAATGACTAATTAATACACTCGGCGCTTTCTTATCCGCCGGCTCAAGGCCCTTAAGTACGCGAGCTAGGAGGTTCAGGGAAACTCGCGCGCGACAGCAGCTCCCGGACGCGGCCCTCGCGGCTCGGTGCGTCGGTACGTTGCGCGCTTAATAGTTCTGTGTTCGGCCGACAGATGTCGTTACCGCTGGTTTCGCCGGCGAGTGGCCGCGGCTTGCGCGCGCACGGCGGCTCGGGCCCTTTACAATTCAATACGCCGGCACCACGTGGTCTCGGGCCACGACGCGGTCCGCTTCGTCCCTCTTCCCGAGCGCGTCACCCCTAAGGCAGGACGGCCTTCTACGCTACGCGAGTGAATGGGGACTGAGCTGCGCGCGTGTGATTCACGGCGCGCGGCCAGACCCACTCCGATTAATCCGCTATGAATGGAGCGCGCGTATACTATACGCGCTCCTCGCGGCGTGGCTTATTTCAGCCTATAAATCTCTACTTAATCCGCGTATATATATTTTTTTTTACCTCGCGGTCCGTATACCTGTTCTAATTACCTGTTTACTCGAAGCGCTCCCAGCGGAGCTCGCCCTCGGCCCTGGCTAGTCTCGCCCTGCGTACTTGACGCGCGCGTAGCTATCTCCCCTTTTTTTCTCGAATTGTTGCACCCCCAGCGGGACTGACGCTTAATAAACTGTATTACATATGTCGATGCGTTCCCCACGGAATTCGCGTCGCGAACATTTTAATAAATTATGGCGTCTCGGAATTAGACCGTCGAGAGCCTTCAAACATAACTTCCCTTTATTTTTTAATAATGACTTCCCCTTATCGGCTAAAGGAAGTAAAGGGTTCTGACACTTACATATTCATAATAAAATAAAATATCAAATTTATTATCATATATATTTTTTACAGATATCTTTCTTTTTGAGATTATGTTTTTTTCCGGCTCGCGGGACTGGTCCCGGTCCGGCGGCGAGTGGCCCCCTCGGATCCGTTATCCTGCCAGGTCCTGAGCCTCATCTAATAGGAGCCCCAGCGGGTCCTGTCCCGGCCTGGCCCCGGCGTGGTCCTCCGCAACCCGTCCGCCATGGTCCCGGAACATAGCCTCGAGGAACTGTCCCGCCGTAGGCCTCTCCGGATCCAGTGCCGGTCGCACAAGATCCGTCGTATCACCATGATACGCGGATCTTGTTCCTGGGTGGTCTTTATCCATTCTCCCTAGGTAATATCGATAAGTAAGCAATCTACGGAATTTCGGCTAAGGTAGTCCACGTGAGTCGATTGCGCACCTGGACGGTACACGACGTCAAATTCGTAATCCTGCATGTACGCCCACTCTAGGATGAATGTCTTTCTTTTCGGTAGACGCTCTTACCGCATTGCAATCGGTAACAATGGTGAATTTAATCCCCAAATTTCTAAATCTCTCCTCGAGATCGTTAGACGGAATCAAAATATCGTCTATATAAACAACCGCAGTTGTAAACCTCAAGTCACCTAGAGCAGTATTTATGCCGCTTTGGATAACGGACGGCGCGTTAGCTAACTCAAACGGCATGCGTAGGAATTCGTACTCACCGTCGGGGGTGATAAATGCAGTCGCTTCGACGGAACTGGAATGCATGGGCATTTGATAGAACCCCGATGTGAAATCAAGGGAGGTGAAATAAGATTTACGCCCCAGGCGGTCTATTTGATCATCGATTAATGGGAGAGGATATTTATCGCGCTTAGTAATTTTGTTGAGGGCCCGGTAATCCACGCACATGCGCGCCTCACCATTTTTCTTTCGTACAAGCAACACCGGGCTCGCGTATGGCGAGCGGCTCTCTCGAACAATGCCATTGGCCCCTAATTCCGAAACTAGTCTTTTGACCATTTCGCGTTCAGACAGCGACATTGTATACGGCCGATGTTAAACCGGCTCGTCGTTAAGGACGTCGATTTTCATCTCCGTGACATTCGTTTTCCCGATCTCGTCAATTTTCATGGATTCGCACGTTCGATATTTATTGAGAAGCTCAATCAGTCGATGCTCGTTCTCCGAATCTAGTCCCGGGCAGTACACGTCCCTTACTGCGATTGTCCTGACGGACCTCGATTCGACTAGGTGGACATTCAGTGGCTCTGGTTGGACGATTAACTTTAATCCTGATGCCTCTGCGATAGCTTTCACCCCTGGGTAAGTCAGAATATCGCGACCTACTAGAATGTCCCACGTAAGTTGATCGTCGCGAACTACGTAGAATTCGATATCGAAATCAATACCGTTGTTATGTTTGTCACGTTCCGCTCCACGATCCGGCTCGAAGGACCGATAAATGTTTGTGTTAGTTCGGTTCGCGGAGGAACGGCTAGATAAATTTCTGGATGCGAAGTGCGATATCGAAACTTAAATGTTTATTAATATTGATACTATTTAACAATTCAAGCGGGTTTAACAATAAAATAACGGAGTGAAAGTAACGGAACGATTAATGATGCCTAATTAAGCGGGCCACTAGCGCAAGTGGACTTAGTGATGGCGCGAGAAATTGAGCGCGTAAAACCGGAGAGTCGTTGTTCTCGCGGGAGATCTATTTTATCTCGCTAGATACCGCGGACGCGTAAAGTCACGCGGGAGACCGAAAGACGCGGTAATGCCGGGACGCTGATGGTCGCTTGGCTGTTCAATCGAATCTGCTGTTTAGGACCAAAGTTTAGAAACAAGAGGGTCCCGGAGAGAGTTTTTAGAGGCGAAGTTTGGAAGAAAGTCGACGAATTGCATTTTTGTATGCAGCCGATTGGTCAAGAAGAAAAGAAGAGGGAGAAGTTTTAGGCAGTTCCAGAGGCGTGAGTGGAGACTGCACATGCTGATGTCGTTAGAGAGTTTCGGAGAACCACTAGACGAAGAGTAGAAGAGCGGAAGACATAAATTGTCCTAATTGCGGACGTGATCGAGAGGTACATGGGTTTTCTTGGGAACTTTCGAATGATATTTTCCAGATAGGTTGAAGGAGACAATTGCGAATGAAGAAAGGCGCGTTACGAATGGAGCTCAAAGGACTT